TCACTTTCGTATATCATCAAATGTTGTACATACATTGCCTTTTATAGGCAAAGTTGACACGCTTTTCAAGATAAATTAAATATAATAATGTAAAGATGATAAGATTATTAATAGTAGTAAGATTCCACATATTTACAATAAAAAACAAAATATTTTTTTTTATAATAATTATTTATAGCTTTTTACTTCACTACAAGATACTCAATTCTTATGAAAACACCCTAGTATACAGTGTCTGTCTTGTTCAGATCCAAGGTTCCATACTCGTTATCCTCGATCCTCAAATTCCCTCAAAATAGTAACAATCTTCTGTAACAGGTTTTACATCTCAGTTATCTTTCTTCTGCTGTGAATTTGGGATCGTCATTACAACTCTTCTGCTCATAACTCTAAGGTGAGCTTTAATCTTCTATTCATTTAATTTGTTTTTCCCCCTTTGATTGAACTTGTGGTAACTGATAATGGAGTTCGATTTGATGCGTGACAGTAATTAATCTTACCCATATCTTTCTTCTGCTGTGAAAAGGACCGATTCAACGTTTCTAATTGTATTTCTCAGTTTTTGCATCTCTGCTGTTTTTTTTTTTTTTGGTGTAATATAGTTCATTATTTAATCATACTTGCCTTGGTGAAAAAAAATCTTTCAGGAAAGTTTGGATCTTGATTTCTTATATGGATGTGTGTGTGTGTGTGTGTGTGTGTGTGTGTGTGTGTGTGTGTGTGTGTGTGTGTGTGTGTGTTTATAACACTACCATATGAACTTGACATGGAGATTCCTTGCAGTGGCAATTGGGGGTGTGAGAGATGGCGGAAGGGGGTGAAGAGGATAATTTGCCGAGGGATGCGAAAATTGTGAAGGAATTGTTGAAATCGATGAGTGTGGATGATTACGAGCCTCGAGTAATAAACCAGTTCTTGGAGCTATGGTATAGATATGTTTTTGATGTTTTAACAGATGCACAAGTCTACTCGGAACATGCCGGGAAATCCACAATTGATTGTGACGATGTAAAGCTTTCTATCCAGTCTAAAGTCAACCGAAGTTTCTCGCAACCACCACCTCGAGAGGTAATTTAGCCTATATTGACCCCGGTGTGGTAATTCTGGTTTCGGGGGAATGTTCAGTTCAATATAATCTTGTTGGGTAATAATGATATCTTCATGTAGTTAATTGTGAATATTGCTGAGTACTCCGATCTGATCATACTACAGAATTCGCTATTCTGGTTTACACGATGTTGGTGTTTGTTTGCACATTGAGCATGTAGTGTTTGTAGTTTTTAAATGTATTCTTCTGAAATTACTAACTAGGCTAAGTCCTAAGGATAGTATATATGATATCCTGGCTCCAATCCACATAACATGCATGTGCGGTGGCTTTTATTGCTAGTTTAGGTAGGTGGTATTGTTGGAAATTAGCTAACTGCAAATCGGCTAGAATTATAATGATATAACATGAACTTCAAGCTGATAGAATGGAGCAACACGCTTAACGTATAATTGCTTCTAATTGATATGATTTACTTAAGGTATAATTGCTTCTAATTGATATGATTTACTTCAATTATATGCGTGTCACATGTAACTGAGAGTTATCCCCTTCTTGAGTCTGAAAATTGTTAGAGAGGGCCAGATTCATAAAAACTGGTTCGTGTTCAGTGAAAATGCTTACTCTTTTCCTCGATATATGTTCTTTTTTAAATTATTTTTTTTCCACTCCGAACTCCTTGAAGGTGCTGCTGGAGTTGGCCAGGAGCAGAAATAAGGTCCCGCTGCCAAAATTGTTAGCAGGGCATGGGATCCCTCTGCCTCCAGAACAAGATACATTGATCAGCCCGAATTATCAGCTCGCTATACCCAAGAGGCAAATAAGCCAACATGTTGAAGAGACCGAAGACGATGAAGAAGCTGTTAATCCCAATCCCAATCCTAGCCAAGAACAAAGAGATTTGCCTCATGGAACATCTCAGCGAGTTTCTTTTCCTGTTGCAGCTAAACAACCGAGATAAATGTTCGGTAATATTGTCTGACGTAGCCAAAGATCTGTGTTTGCAAGAGTATATGCAGCTTACCTTTCTTAATTTAGAAGAACATGCGTCATCTTCCTCTACTTTTTTTTTTCTTCTCAGAGGTTCATACCATATTCGCTCTGATTACTTAAATAATACTGATAATTTTATTAATATGATATGGTTTACTTGTTGTATATATAAGGTTGGTTTCGCTGTGGAGCCGACTATTGGCTTCGTAGCAGAACTGTTGGCCGATTAATTTGTGCTCCCACCACAGGCATCAATTTTTCCGTAACATAAAATTACTCTTACAAGTTTCTCATCATGTATAATTGTTACATTTCTTGCATATCTATTTAAGAGCTAAACCACACACACACGCGCGCACACACACACGCACACACGCACACACAATTGTGAAAGATCAGCAAATCGCAGGCCCCAAAACAGGAACAGCTAAAGAATGCTCCATATACATCCTCTGCTGAAATGACCCAATTGTCCCTCTCTCCTTCAAAAGGGAGGCATAATAGCTTTTCAGTTTCCTAAGCATGAAGGCATACTTTACCCTAAGCCAATTCAGCTTCACTTTCCTACAAGCCCTGGCGAACGACAACCGGCGGCCGGGCTTCTTTCCACCAAGGCAGACACTGGGCAGCCTCCGCTGCCGCCTGCGGCCGAGGGCCCACCGGAAAGCGGGCCTCACGGGGCTGGTGTTGATCTTCTCAGGGGCAGTTTGGGAAGACATTGTTTTCAGTAATGTAATATGAAAAAGAGGAGAGAAATGAAAATATGGGAGAGTGAGCTATAAATACATGGTTTTGGGGAAATGTGTGAATTAATTTGTGACACATAAAGGTGATAGAGCCGATAAGGATTATTAGGATAAAAAGATTAAATCTAATTTCTCTATTGCTTTTTCTTTTAACGGAAAATAACATTTTTTTTTTTTTATTTTTTGAATTTTTTGAATGTATGTTACATGAATTGTGTGTAAATAGAATTTGTGATATGAGATAATGAGATATTTCATATATGTTGTGATTATTATATGTTGTGGCTTTGAAGATTCATTGTGTATAATATACATAACACTCGAGTCAATGTGCATTTTGTTTAAATTTGTTACACTCAATTACATTTATTTGATATATTTATATAATGACATATCATAACACAATAATACCAATAACACTTACTACCTCCTGTTCATTATAAATGTCGTTTTGACTTTTGTGATTCATCCATTTTATTATGTATCTAGACATTAATATGTCTAGATACATAACAAAATGGATAAATCAAAAAAGTCTAAACGACATTTATAATTAATAGGAGGGAGTATAATAATATTAATATTATTATAATATTATATCATATAATTAAATGTTATAACATAGTCATAAAAATGCATAAAATTTATTGAAGGATTAATATAGCATATCATTTCTCTAAATATATCGGGTTTAGTGCCTCGTTATTAAATTTTCTTTTGCTAGTTTTAGATATTTTTTGAGATTTAACGTAGATGAGTAAGGGTTTGATTGTTTATGAAATAATTTGTTCAAAATGAGTTATTTTGGTTAATTATAGGTAATTTTGAAAAATGTCGTATGGTTAGTTGATTAGTGGATTTTAAAAATATATTAAAATAATATTTAAAATAAAATGATTAAAATTGATTTGATGTAAAAGTAATAGATAAATGATTGGAAATGATAGGTAGTTAAAATTATGTGATTGGATAAATAGTGAATTAAAGTTGATGTGATGTGTAAAAATGATTGGTTTGTATTATTTAATTATATAAAAAATATTAAAGATAGTGAAGTTGAGTTAAATTTTGAGTATGAAATAAATATGAGCGAAATAATTCATAAACAATCACGCCCTAATTTATTAATTTAGATTTTTTTTTTATTTTTTTTATTGAAGTTAACAGATGGACATAGCACTACGTAATATTATTGTTTTAGCATTTCAAGTACGTATGCTTGTAATCCTATTTTAATAATCCCCTCCCATTACACTTTCTAAAATAATATTCTACTAGTATAATACTGTGCGTATTATACTAGTTGTATATATCTTAGTTTCATGAGTTCTGGTAGATAATACATTATATCTTTAAGAGAGTTTAGAGGTATATTCACTGAGAGCTCGTGAGTTTTTGTTTAAATTATATAGAGTGGTCAAGTTCCAACATGTTAGTTCATTGCTGGTAATTTTGGCTGTTAGTTTTGTTTTCAGTTCTATTTGGTGCTTGGGACGAGCATCTTATACTGCTTGGAGGGATCCATACGTGCAGCGTAAATCCACATCGTGGCCAGAAACCTAGTTAGGTAGATGGTGTACAAAAGTAGGTTAGTTTTGAGGGAGTTTGTGCTTGTAAATCTTGTTTGTACTTGTTGGTTAAACACTTGCTTAATGAAAGAGTTCTGAGGGAGAGCGGAACGCTCTCCTAAAAGTTTATTTTTATTTATTTGCTTCCGCAAATTTACATGAACGTACATTGTTTTTAGTATAAGCGCAAATTTTGTACTCCCCCGAAATTTCAATTGGTACCAGAGCAGGTTTTCGTTTCAATTACGAAGATCTTGTGGCCTGTGACCTGGCTACCATGAATTACGACGGTGGATCTATGTCCCGACCCCCGCAGCTTGACGGGTCAAACTATCCCTATTAAAAATCGATGATGACCATCTTTTTGCGTTCATCGGGGACACAACGGCACCATGCCCTTTCCAGAGCCACATCAATAGTTCGCATTTGTAATCAAGAACCAGATGTCACGATCGATCGCTCAAAGCTTCATTCATGCCAATGTCACCCATCAAGTTTGAGGGTTACCCCCCTTAAACTCGATACATGTTTTGTCCACAAAAAAGGTGCGTTGCACTAATACAACTTGTCTTTCAGAAATGCAACACGTGTCCAATAACTAAAAAAATAAAAAGTCATAATGATTTTTACTTTTCACCAGTTACTAGTAATACCCATGTACAACATGGTGTTGCGTTAATGAATATATGTGTAAAATTATTTATGTTTAATATCAAACTTTATTTCAGAGTAAAAATAATATAAAAATAATATCACGAAGTATAGATTTTCGCCATGTCAGTATCCGAAACGTGAAAATCTATCATTTAAGCTTAACACGTTTTGAATTAATATATAGAGAGGGATAAGTTACACCAACCTCCATGAGATTAAATAGTTGAAAAGTCACCGAAATAAAAAAAAATATCCAAAGTTGTTAAAGCATAAGAAAACTTGTAAACTTATAAAAGCACGTGTTAATTTTATGCAACTTTCATTTCCTTTGTCTTAATTACATATTACATCAAACTTCACTTCGCTATCTGTTGTTGGTATCTCACATCAACAATATCAAATCAAATAACCAAATTTACACACCTTCTCAATTTTTTGTAATTTTTTGCAGTTTTAGTATTTTCTTTTTATTTATTTTTTTTCCTTTTTCCTACATTTGAAGATCAGAATTGCCCTTTTATCCTCGAGCCTCAGTCACAATCTTTGGTCGTCCCACAATACAAGGAGGTCTCAACAAGGGTCATACTAGGAATACAACTCCCGGACCGGGGCATCATAGTACCCTCCATCTTGATATTTCCTCGTTTAGTTATCGGGCTATTCGGCATTGACCTTGGAGATTTGGGGTTCTCCAAGCTCTTTCTCAGAACCCGGTCTCATGGCCTGAATCATGTGGACGGTGGGATCTTGTGGAGGGCCCATTGCCCGGAACTTGCCGCAGACGCTGAGATGTCGGGCCATGGCTTCATCCGGGCTTATGAACATTTGGCAACGCAAGGTTTCGTCTTTCACGGCCTCACCACAAAGCCCGCAAAGCCATTTTCCTCCGTACCTAATGTAAGAATTTATAGATGATTAGACTTAAAATTTGTAATTTTGGTGTAAAGATGTACGAGTCTCAAATTAATAAACTGGGAGATGTTACGGTTCCGTTACGGTACCATAGCATTTTCCAAAATAAACTTCTTCAATTTTCTTTTTTTTTTTCCCCGACGATAAACCAGCAATTTTTTTAACCAACAAAGAAAGAGTTCGAGCAATCAAACGATTACAAACAAAGTTCTTGCTATAGAAACAAGAACCAATCAACTAGGGGAGTTAGCAAACTCCCCCACAAAGGCTAACATAGCCAAACACAAGCAAAGTCGTTAAAATTATTTAATAAGTGTAATCATTCATCTATGACAAAATATAAGAAGTTTCTCGTCCATTTCTTGGTTAGTTATGGTAGGAAGCCATTATAATTATCTATTCTATATATATATAAAAAGATTTACCATTTTTCAAAAATAGCAAGTTAAATTTTGGTCAAAATTATTTTGCATTAATTACATTCCATTCTTAGTAACTTTTCTTTTCTTTTTTTAATAAAAAAAGTAGCATTAAATGCTACCCATTAATTAAGGATTTTGTTATTTTGGTTTTCAACAAAACCATGAATGTTGTCTATTATTTGGGGATGATGTTGTTTTATTTTTAAAAATCATGTTTAATAAAGGAAATAACTATATATTACCCTAAATTGTTGGATAATTAGATTGTCTTGCTTCGCGTCTTTACTTACTTAATAAATTAATTAGTGTTGATTTAATACTTAATTGGTCAAACATTTTTTTTTCAAATTAAAAATAAATATGTATAACCGATAAAAAAAAGAATTAAATATGTATAGATAATATATTAATTACTTTACAAGCTAGCCCTAATATACAAGTGAAAAATATATGATAACCCTATTGATTTTTAGACTTAAACGAACAGAGTCGTCTGAAAATAATTCATTTAATATCTATGTCCCGTGCATTACACGGGGTACGTACTAGTTTTAATTAAGTGTAATCATATTTTCTACTACTATATTACAGTATAATTAATACGAATACTAAAAAATCAAATTGCACTCTAAATGGTATAGAAAAGTTACATAAGTATAAAAAAACTCCATTGCAAGATTTTTTCAATCTGCTTATTCTTCTCTTTTTTTTTTTTTCAAATTTTGTATTTATGAAGTGATTTTCTTTAGAAAAAATTAGCTAATTAGTTTATAGCATAGTCAAACCACCTTAAAATCTATAAACAATTGTTCTATAATATTACTAATAATAATAATCAACCAAATTAATTAGTCATGATCTCTCAAATTTTAAAAAAAAATACATAATCCACAAACTTTTTTCAATCAAATACAGTGATTGATATATACTTAAATAATGTATATATCCATATTGTTTTATTTTTAGTAATGATCAAAGTTTGAAAATGTGATAAGTCAATTATCTAATTTGCAATTTTAATATTATACTCATGAATAATGCTACTTGTACCCCTTTGTGTACCACTTGATTTACATCCAAATGGTAGATGTACCCATTTACTTAAGGACAAATGTAAATGGGTACATGTGCCCCTTGAATGTAAACCTGGTATACCAAGGGGTACATATAGCATGATCCTTATACTCATACAGATAAGTATAAAATTTTACTTAGATCTACACATGCCCAAAGGATGAATACTAGTATCATTGAAATTTGAATCAATAACTATAATTTAACATGATTTAATAAGAAAAATCAAAGCATGTGTTCTTGATATGCATGAAAAAAAAAAAAAAAAA